GTTTGGTTTTGCCGCAGGCAGATCCCGTGGGGGTAGTCTCTGGCTGACCCGCTGGCGTGACCTCGGCCGTTTTCTGTTCGTTCGGGTGTTGTTCCCCCCCTCTCTGGAAGGCTGGGCGGGCAGGGCGTGCTGCCTGTGGCCCTGCCTGCCCTCCTCCTCCTCCTGATGCGGGCCCGGGGGGCCGAGAGGCCGCAGCCTCGGCCTGCGCTCACGGTAACCTGGACCTACAGAAAGGGTGGAGAGGGGCTTCTCACATGGGTGTGTAGTGATAGGACAAGGGGGAATGGCTGTAAACTAAAAGAGGGCAGATTTAGATCAGATATTAGGAAGAATCCAACCCTTACTACTCTATGATTCTAACCTTGGTGCCGAGCAGAAGTGCCGTTGTTCTAAGGCGCTTTGGCTGTTAGCAGCTGTGGATTTGGCTCATCTTGATTAAATGAAGCCTATGTTTGATCTGATTAGGACATTTACTAGGTTTCTCGTGATGTCTGACTGTAGGGCATTGCCATCTCTCTCGCTTTGGTTCCCCTCTTCCCCACACCGCCTGTAACCATAGCTGCTCAGGGAGGTCACGTCACCCCATGCTGCCTAGCACTAGCTGTGTTTTGGGATGCAGGGACGGATGATGGCCAGCCTTGCAGTCAGTAACAGGGTTGCACGTGTTCTGGTAAAGCCCTGCCTGTGAAGGAGTGCCCTGGTTGGTGTCACACCACAGGAGTGTGCCTGTCCAGGAGACAGAGGACCTCATCCTAAGGAGGGTTGCTGCCTTTGCGGGAGGCGTGAGCTGTTAACTCCGCTGTTAATTCTGCGCTGAGGAGGAATGAGGCAAGGTGTCCTGGCTGCTGGAGCGCTGATCCTGCGCATCTGCTTTTGGAGCTTAAAATTATACCTGAGCCCTGAAAATGGAGGGTGAGGGACAGTGGACATCTTTGTACACTTGCTTCTGGATTTTATATTGGTGACATAAGGAGTGCCATTTGTAAACCTTTATGTCTACAGCAGATGGAATACCATCTTACCAGGCAGGTATTCCAGCAAGGGTTGTTTACAGTTGAAGACAAGGCTAATTAAAAGGTATCAGTTAAGTGACAGAGGCCTGTTCACACTCCTCTATGGTTGGGCAAGCGTGGCCTTCACAGTACTAAAATAGAACTGATTGTTGACTGAAATTAACCTTGATGACTAGTTCCTTCACTGTAGACAGCTGTCTATAGGTGAAATAACACTGGAGAATGTAAAAGGAACTCCTGGAAACTTCCATAGCCAGAACATTGGAGCTGAATGTGAAGCCAGAGCCCCAGTGCTTGGTGCCCATGTGACAAGTAAGGGCTGCATGCTCTCAAGTGGAAGCAGGGAAGGTCTTGCTCAGGTCTCGGTAGCATCTTCTTCCGTCAGTGAACTGCTGCTTCTCTCTTGCCTGGGTTCCATTTGATCTGCTGCTGCAGGTGTTTTGATGTGTCAATGGCTGAATCACTTGAAACTGTTACACCTCAGCTTTGTTATTGCCTCTAACTGTAGTTGGACAGAACTAAGAATAACAAGGATTTTTGCAGTGTCTGTATAAAATATGAGAGAGAGACTTTAATTGTCAGTTTTTCCACCTTTTCACATAAATGTACTATTATTTGTGGCCTCTCAGGAGTGATGCTCAGATAGTTGTATTACATCTTAAAGGTGAAAGTTTCTGAAGACTCAGTGTGCTGTTGAGTGGTAGGTTAGTGTTGGATTCCTCAGGGACTGAGTTCTTGCAGAAAGATGTGATGAGAGTTTGCCTAGAACTAAGGAGCTTGTGTCAAGATACTAACTCAATTGTTTTTCCCACAAAGCTTGATTTGCTAACAGGGAATGTACTAAGACTTTGTACTTTACTTCTAAAGCTTACCTATTACTACTGTTTGCCCTGTGCTTCTGTTCCAGGGTTCCTTGGAAATCACACAGAGTTTGGAAGATGATCCTCTACTGGATGCACCGCTTATTTCGTCTCATACATTGCATTCCCAGCTGAGGCCAAGATTTCATGCTATCCCAGCAGTTCTCCTTGCCAACTTTCTGTTGCTAATACATGTAAGTTCAAGCAGCATGATTTCATTATGAAAACTTGCTGTCTCTATTCTGAAATCTTAATGTTCACATGGACAGAATTCTGCTGAAACTTATATACACTGTTCTTCCAAACCAGTGACGTCTTATTTACCAATGAATTTTGATCATGTATATGCTACATTATACTTGCTGTGTTCTCATTCAGGTTGTTTATCGGTGCTAACATTCTACAACACATCTTTTAGGAAGAAAAGCCTTTGGAGTAGTAGTTCTTCTGTGCTGTTGGAAATGTGCTTTTAAGATAATGTTACAGCTATAGAAGTGCTTAGACTAGTTATAGAGGGCTAAGATAATGTTGATGCCTAATTATTAAGATAATTTTAATTTCAGCCTTCTGGAGGCTGAACTTAATTTCACAGAGAATACTTAAGGTATTTCATGTGGTAACTAAATAAGTAAAGCTGGACTTGCTGCAGGGGTTTTCCATTGTAGCGGATGGAGAGATAAAGGAATCCAAATGTTACTTCCTGCTCTGACTTCAGGAGCTTGAGGGTGAAAAGCACAGATAAAGGACAGATCTTGTACCTACCAGTATAAAGGCCTCTTTTAGGCTGGTCGACAGAAGTGGAGAGACTCTGGCCTAGTAATGTGTTTATCCTTGACAAGCTGAAGAGACTTACTGTTGATTGTGAGTGTGTGGAAACCAAACATCAAGAAGGAAGTATGAAGAGCTCTGATCCTAAGATCTAACTGAAAAAATACTTGCATAATGCCCTTAAAACTGACCTAAAGGTAGTATGCATATAAAGCCACAGTGCACAAGATATATGTATGTGGTGCTGGTTATGTTAAAGGTTCATTTGATCTCAAAATGGTGTGTCCAGGGCTCTGCAAAACACTCTTTACCAGAACTTTAAGAGTGCACACCAACCTCTGAGGTCTCTCTGTGGGCAGCTGCATAAAGCTGTTCAAACAATGTCTTGGCCTTCTAATTTTGGAAGTAAGTGTTTTGTGGGCTTCTTAGTAATATCAAGAAATGTCTGTCTGTCTGATCAGGTAGACTTAGGAAAGACTTTGCTGTTCTGCTGAAAAAAACTAACAAAATTCCCAGTGGAAACTGTATTCAGCCTTAGTCCTTTCCTCTACCAGAAGAACTTGAAGTCTGCATTGCAAAGGTAGACACTCCTATTGGTAGTAGAGCAGTAAATGTTTTTCCACCCCCTCATACTGAGGCCTTATTATCTACTACCATCACTGGTGTAGCCAAATGTCAGTCACCCAGTTGCTAGGAAAATGCTGCCTCTTCTCTCCCCATCACTTCTGCAAATGGAGAGAAGTGTGGGAAGATAGAGAGAACTGCTGAGGCCTCTGTCAACACACACTTCCAGGTAAAGACTTGCTCCTTTTGCTGAACCTGCTGCAGTGGCCATTTGGTCCTTGGAGCAAAATGGAGAAGTATCCTTTTCTGTCAGTGAAATACAGCATTATAATTGCTACATGAAATGGTGATGTCTCTTGCTGGAAGCATGGATGGGGACAACAAGCTTATTGGATTTCCTTCCCCTCTGCTTCTGCAAGTGTGCACAGCCTGCCAAAGGGGCAGGTGTCCTGGAGAAGTGAAGTCGTCATAGTATTATGCAGTAGAGTTGTAATGCATCTTGAAAGTAACTTGTATGTAACTTGGAGTATTTCCTCTCCACCCTCCTGTGCCAAGAATTTGGGTTAGGCAGCAAATAGCTGCTTTGGTACGGCTGCCTAGTTACATACAGTTCTGGAGTGTGTGAGTAGGTTAGGTTGGAGTGTGGTGGGGCTGGGTTTGAGTGGCTTTGTTTTTGCCAAGCCTTGCTTTTCTGCAGGCTTCTGGCTCCTATCTGGAGAGCAGTGTAAAGTGTACAGGCTAAAAGTGATTATTTTATTAACCTTGCCTTTCCTTAATCCCCTATGTGTATGCACATAAACAAAACTGAACTTAAATACTACTCTTTAAAAGAATAGCTTTTGTATATAAAAATCCCCTGTACTGGGGTGAAGCACCTGTTGTTGGAATACCCTAAAATGTAAGCAAAACATCTTTAATAAATGCCACTCTTAATGCCAGCTATCTGTTTCCTGTTGTATACACTGCTGTAGGAGATCAGTAGAGCTGCAATGCTAGGCCATTCCCACTCATATCAGTGTAATATAGCCATTTTCTGTACTGAAATACATTCCTAACACCTGGAGGGAGTAGAACTAGATGTTGCTGCCTTAAAGTGGCAAACCAAACAGTAAGTGGACCAAATAAAATACAGATTAGCTGAATTATTCTTAGCTTTGTAAGAAAAGGAGGTAGTTAAATGATTAAACAAACATTTTGTTGAGATCCCACCTTTTTGTTTCACTTCGTAATCTGGCTGTTTAACCCATCTCAAGATAATTTTGGACTTAATTTGCATTTGAAATAATGGTCTTATGGATAATAAACATGCTCCTTTTTTTTTCCCGCCTTCTACACTGTCCTCTGTAATGTCTCTGTCAGGTGTTGATGACTGACAATTATTCTCCTTTCTCCCTCTCCCCAATTACCTTCCTCTACTCATAACCAGAGCAAGCTAAGAGCAGTTCATATCAAGAGTAATTAAGTGGTTCTCAAAGGTTAATTTCTGAAGAAAGTTGCTTGAGAAATGACAAAAATATGAAAAATAAGTTCAAGGGCATGGCAAGGGGACAGTGGCCTCTTGGGTATCCATAGAATTAAGTATGGAAACATAGCTAGCAAACAAAAATCAGATGCTTTCCTCTGTCTTCAGTTCTGATGTGTTGTTTCTATCCAGTTATGAGATGCAGAACACTGGACACTTTTTTAAGCAAAGTACGTTAAAGATACTAGAATTCTCTAGACCTGAGGAAAATTGGTATAGAGGCTCTCAATTTAGTTCTGTATTGGTGGGAGTTGTGTTTGTTTTCAGTTCCATTTTATAATATTCCTATTCTGTAGAAGTACTGTGCTTGTTCATTGAATTAAAACAGTAGGGAGAGTAGTTTCTGACACAAATTCTATAAAGATTATAAAAAGCCCTGTGTGTGTCTACGTATGACCCAGATAATGTGCACCCAAGCCTCTGCCTTCTAGTTGGCCAAAAGATTGCTGATGCTGGAAATCTGGAGAAAAGTCTAGAAGACAGGAAAAGTTATGGCATAATGGCACTAGTCTGAAAGGAGAAGTGTGCATATAATCTGACAGGCTATAGTCTGATCATTCTGACATGAGTTCTGAACAAAATGGAAAAATCTGATAGTAAGTATACTAAAGAACGATTACTGACTGCAAAGATGCCTACCCAGTATTAATAATTCACTTTAAGTTAATGTGATGACGATACACTTTTTTCTAATGTCGTAACCTGGAGATTATCTTTAATGGATTTCATAAAGGGTTGCTTTTCAGTTAGGAAATGTCAATTGAAAGAAATGTAGACTGTACCAATAAGATATGAGGATGTCCTGCAGAGCAGTAACAAGTGTAACTGGATGGGTCTAAAAAGATGTGATTCTTTTATTTTGAGGGAGTATAAATCAAGGGCCCCTTAAAGTAAAAAGACACAGTAAAGAGGGTTCAGAAATAAGAGAAATTCACTGTGAAGGGGAGACTTGGGGAACAGGGAAATTGATTTAAAGGGAATTCTGGGAAGAGTGGTGATTTTCAACTCTGTTCAGCTCTAGATGCACTCTTGCAAGACCATCTTACTACTTAGCCATTTCAGTCATGAGTATGTTCCTAGAATGACATGCAGTAGTGGTAGTAAGTGTCTAATGTTTTATAAGTTATCTCAATGCTAATAAAATCAATTCAGAAAGTAATGCATAATGAATAAATTACATAAGCCTGTCTTTTTTTTTATGGTTAAATGTTGACTTTAAGAGTTTTCATCTGCCTTCCTTTGTCTTCCAGGTTGCTTTTGTTGTTCTAGCATTTTTAGCAGCTATGTTTTGCTCTTACCCCAATCCAAATCAGGATAAGTGCCCTGGAAACTATACTCACCCGCTTAAAGTGATGACTGTTATAATCACTGCAAAAGTAATTCTGTGGATCCTGCACGTTTTTTTTGAACGATATGTCCAGCACCACCACAGTAAAGTCAGAAGCAGAGGTTACTTCTCAATATACCGATCAACAAGAAATCTGAAAAGGCTTCCACTGCTGATACACTCCACAGGTGAAGTGAACTTGTTTTCCTACTTTTTCTTCTAAAGCTTTAAACTGTGACACAATAAGACTGAACAGTTTATATATAAATGGATATTATATATTAAGCTTTTTAAAACCTGCCTATCAGCATTTATAAATGATACTTATTTTAGTCAGGTGGATCCCCTGACTGACCTTTCTGGCCTGCCAGATGCATGTTGTAAAGAACTTTCTGGTGGAAAAATGCCCACAAGTGTGAAATTGAGTAAAACATGGAGTTCTTTGCATCTAGCCTTCAGCCATAAAATGTTCAGCTGGTAAGGTCTGTGTTTGGCTGCTAGTGATCTTGACTTGCATGATCATTTGTCTAGTTGGATATGTGGGAAGACTGCTAGTCCTTCAAAAAGTGTGCTACTCTTTTCTTAAACTCAGCTGTTCAAGTAGAAACAGGTGAATTGCCTCTTGCTCAACAGCTGTCTGAAATCAGTAAAACAGGCAATTTTCTGATCTTCAGTGGGGCATGTGTAAATTCAGGTCCACCAACTGCTTTTTCTTCTACTTCCTATGGACCAAGGGTGGTGTATGGGAGTGGCTTAACTACGTATTCCAAGTTAGTTTCACTGGCCAGTGGTATGAGTGAAGTGTTGGTACAATTAGCTGGTGTAGCTTTTTTAACAAACTTCTTCAACAAACTTAATCCATTTAACTTGAGGGGAGTTTTCACACAGGAATAGCAGGGGGAAAAGGGAACAGTGGTGGCTTTTACAGTATTTTTGCTTCTTATAATCCCACCTCCCTTCTGTAAATCTTCTGAATAACTGGAGTAGAAATTTTTTCACCAGAATTGCTAAGTTAGGTGGTCCTGAGCTTTATCTGAAACCCTAGCTTTCTTTCCACCTAGTCACTAGAAGAGCTGGCCAACTTGATGAATGCAAAACTTCAGGCTATGGCCACTAGATAGAGCTCTGAAGATAAAGAATGTGTTTGGAGTGTGGTGACAGAACTGGGCTACAGCAGGTTTAAGGATGTTTCAGAAGAGAGTAAAAAGACTATTTCTGCTTATTGCAGTGTAGTCTGGCATACTTAGCCCTGTCTTCAGTCTTGGATGGAGCCCACTTCACTGCTGGACAAGCTTCTGGGCATGTGTAAATGTTCAGGTGCAATCTGTGTGCTGTGGACTTTTGAGGTAAATTATCTGTGGGTCAGAAGGTGGTTAGATCCCTTAGTGCAGACTCCATGCCATGCTAATTGCAGCTGATGCTGCTTCCATCCTGACAGTTCAGTTCCCTCACACAGTATGAAAGAGAACTGTGCAGTCCCCTAAGCTATACTGAGGGTCTTAAAACACTTAGTGCTTTATCCAGACACTGCTTATAGCGTTTCTATGGGAAAGAAAAGAATATTTCACACACCTTCTTCTCTGATACAGAGTGTAAAGAATTAGGGATGTTTTAAGTCTGTCATTCAACATTTGTTCTCCTGGACTAATTGTGTTCATTTTGGTTAAACTTTTAGTACCTTGCAAGTATTAAAATAATAGCCAGGCAACTGGAAGCCTATGCAAGTATCTCCCTGTGAAAGGAAGGCGTTTGGGTTTTTGTTAGCCTCATTTAAATACCATCAAATCCACCACTTGAAGGAAAACACTCTCTCACTTTGAATTGACTGATGTGACTTCTTAGGAGTTGAAAGAAATTAATAGTGTCCAAGCAGTTTTGGGGGTGGATAGCAGCAACAAGGCTAGAAGGTGCTTAAGCCCACACATGTATATTGGGTCTTTCTAGTGTATTTCTTCAGCTCTTACTTTAAGTCAGAAATATCTGTAAGAAAACTCATATTTCTCTACCATAGAAGTCAAATGCTTAAACGAAACAGCATTTTGCTGCCAGCAGTTGTAAGCTTGCATCACCTGTGTTAAGGAAATGGCTAAAAAGGCAAGTATGGTATGAAATGGAGAAGCATTACTGAAATGCTGTGGTGTAATGGAGATATTGAGAATGAGAGAGTACCAAGCTATTTTCAACAGCTAATGAAATCGTTATGCCTGTAAAATACAACATTTGTTTTCTAGGTAATGCAGCCCTTCTTCTGATTCTGTCCATGCAGCATTCCTTTCCTGATCACAGTAAAGTGTACCTGTATCTTATCCTGGGAGTCCTGGGCCTGGAGCTGATTAGCTCCCTGACGTGCTTAGTGATTTACACAGGTGAGGCAATTTTGCCCTTTTTGAGTGAGACTTGTTATAGCTGCTACTCAGCTGTTCTGTTTGCCCTCACAGTAGCTCACTTGAGGTACCCAAAGATATGTAACTGCTACTACAAATACAGAATTATTCTGTGTTTGTAGAAGAACTAAGGCAATTCCAAAATAAATGGGAAGGTTGTCAGGCTTGATTTGGCCTCCAAGTGCTGCTAAGTGAAAGCTCCATGTCACATCAAAGCTGTTGATCCAGTAAAGTGGTGATAGATGTATAATTGTTGCGAGTGTCCTGTGAACAGGCTTGTCTGTCCAGCAGTGTGTTCTCAAATGCGTCCACCACAAGCTTTGAAGCAGTCAGAGCTAGCTGGCCTGACCATGAACCGCTTGTGGGCTTTACATACGGGACTTGCATTGTGGATAGTGTGATGTGCCTTGCTCTCCAGACTTTTCACCTTTACCTGGTCCCACCCCAAAAGCTTTAGTTCTACTTTGTCACTAAAATGAAAGATTCCCTCTAATGAAAGGTTAAAAAAAAAAAAATCATGACTTTTAGAATCTGTGCTTTACTAAGATAAGATACTGCATCACAAGACTTTGAGGCATTGCTTTGCACTGTCACTGTTAGTTTGTAAGGTTAGCTGCTTTTTGCTTTAACTTATCAAGACTTGATAAATCTCTTTCTTATTTTAACTATTATTTCCTATTAACTATTGCAGGAGTATCTAAAATGTTGATTAAATGCTTGAACCAAATAGTTTTCTCTAATCTCATCTTAAAAGCTGTTTGGCTTTATGGCTTGCATTACCTCAAATGGAAATAACTGGTTCGGAAAAACTGAAATGGTACAAGACACTAAAAAAGACAATTATTTTTGTTGCCTGAGGAAAACTAGAGATATTTACTGTGAAGTCTGTGTCTGTTTAAATGATGTGTAGTTCCTGTTCTTGAGTTAGACAGTTTATACTCCTGTTTCTGAGATGCTTTGTTGTGATTACTTACAGCTACAAAGGAGATGACACCTTAGCTGAATACTCTCAGTAGCACTGGTTGTGCTGGATGTGGGGTGGGGGGAACAAAACCAATGGGCAAAACTTATAGTTTGCCCCTGACTTCTAATCAAACAGGGGGAAGGAGAGTGGAAATACTTCTTTTAGGACTACATGAAGCTTAAAACTTAGTGAAAGCTGTTTCTGTGGTGATCAGTATTTGTGTTATCTGACTTGTCTGATTTTGTAATTGGTAATTAATCTAGGATATCTTTTATTTTAGAGAAGAAAACTTTGGTATGTTCTTGGTAATGTAATGACACACAGAGAAACACTAATCAATGAGCTGGATGAGGGGATTGAGTGCTCCCTCAGTAAGTTTGCAGATGACACCAAGTTGGGCTAGAGTGTTGATCTGCTTGAGGGTAGGAAGGCTCTGCAGAGGGATCTGGACACACTGGACCCATGGGCCAAGGCCAACTGTATGATGTTCAGCAAGGCCAAGTGTCAGGTCCTGCGCTTGGGTCACAACAACCCCATGCAATGCTACAGGCTTGGGGAGGAGTGGCTGGAAAGCTGTCTGGGGGGAAAAGGATCTTGGGGTGTTGGTTGACAGCTGGCTGAACATGAGCCAGCAGTGTGCCCAGGTGGCCAAGAAGGCCAATGGCATCCTGGCTTATATCAGGAATAGTGTGGCCAGCAGGAGTAGGGAGGGGATTGTGCCCCTGTACTCAGCACTAGTGAGGCTGCACTTGGAGTCCTGTGTTCAGCTTTGGGACCCTCACTACAAGAAGGACATAGAGTGGCGGGAGCCTGTCCAGAGAAGGGCAGTGAGGCTGGTGAGGGGTCTGGAGAACAAGTCTTATGAGTGACTGAAGGAACTGGGGCTGTTTAGTCTGGAAAAGAGGAGGCTGAGGGGGGACCTTGTTGCTCTCTGTAGCTACCTGAAAGGAGGTTGTAGTGAGGCAGGTGTTGGTCTCTTCTCCCAACTAACTAGTGATAGGACAAGAGGCAATGGCCTCAAGCTGTGCCTAGGGGAGGTTTAGATTAGATATTAGGAAAAATTTCTTTACTGCAAGAGTGTCAGGCATTGGAACAGGCTGCCCAGGAAGGTGGTTGAGTCCCCATCCCTGGAGGTGTTCCAAAAACGTGTAGATGTGGCACTTTGGGGCATGGTTTAGCAGGCATGGTGGTGATGGGTCAATGGTTGGACTGGATGATCTTAGAGGTCTTTTCCAACCTTAATGATTCTATGGTTCTAAATGAGGCCCTGGCTCTAAACTATGTCCTTTACTTATAGCTGTGCAGAGGCCCAAATGCCCTAGGCTTGTCAGGCTTTCCTGGAACAGACCAGCGTGGCTCCAGTAGACTGACTGTCCTCTGAAGGAGTAAAGGCAATGATGAGGGAATGCCAGCATGGCAGCCCTAGAGAACTATTCCAAGAATGCTGGAGATCATCCCGTCTTCGCATATGCATACTTACTTTCCTGGGAAACTCAGGAAGCAAGAGATAAATTGCAAAACTTTAATAGAATTCCAGTGAAACGTTATTTCTTACCCTGAGGCCTCTTGGAGCTCAAAGAGCTACATTGTGTGTTGCTTACCCTGGCAGAAAAGGACAAGCAACTACAAGAAAGTTGATCTTCATAGTAGTAAGGTCTGAGCCTGGACTTCCATAAGTGCTCTCAAACTATCTTTCTGCTTACGTCACCTAAAGGTTCTTGTTTGCTAGCTTGTACTCTGTCAGTTCCTGTGCCTAGCAAATCCATTAACAGACTTATACTAGGAAGTTGTGGGGTGCAGTGTTTTGGTTTCCAGCTGAAGGAGGCTTGAAGGGTCTGAGTCCTGGAACAAAGGTGAAGGAGGGACAGAGGTGCCTTGTTAGGAAGGAGTAAGGCAGTCTTTTTTGGCAACAGCTACCTCATTTCCTCAGCAGTCCCAAAATAACAGTCTAAGCTTCATTCTCTAAAGCTTGGTGTGCAAAATGAAGGTTAATTTATGTGACTTAACACTTGCCTCAAGATGGGGAAGAGCTCCAATCACTCTAGGTGACTTTTCTGCTGCATGGTGTAACTTGTTTGCTTGTGTTCCACCCCAGCACATGTTGAGGTGAGGTAAGCGAGGAGATTCTGTCGTGTAGTGCTGGGTTTTTTAGGTTTTTTTAACATTTTAAGCATCAAACTAAAGCTCTGCTGAAGCAAAACAAATGTATTTGGCCAGTTTTGAAAATGGCCTGAGAATCTGTAGTAACAGTGACACTCAGATAATTTTTTCTTTTCTGTCAAACAGAGCAGCCTATGTGACTGGAAGCATGAAGCTTCTTTACTAGGATAATTTAAGAGCAGTCCTCTGCTCAGAGTTATGGTGCCTCTCCAAGGCAAGCACTTGGCAGACACCACTTACTGTTAAGATAGTATCAGCTAATGTAGCTGAGCAACAATGGGGAGATCAAGGTCACTTTACACTAGCAATTCATAATCAACCCCTTTCTTGTGTTAGTGTATGTTAGTAAATTTTGGAGGGAAGGTAGCACTACTTCATACATTGATTCTCCACTGTGGAACAATTATTTCTAACTACTAGAATGAGCTATAAATGCTTATCTGTAGAAGCTTCATGTACCTGATTTATTTTCATTTAAATATTACTGCATCACAAATGAAAGTGGTGGCATGGAATACCTCACTGTAATTCTAGATATTTCTTCTTGCTTGTTGGAGCTGTTCTGTGAATTGCATGGTGTACAATGTCCTGTGAAGTACTACTGCCTTGCTTAAAAATCTCCATTCAGCAGAGTATGTATATATAGCTGCAGGATGCAGAGGCAGGGATTTGGAAATCCACAAGGAATTGCTGTGATTGACCTATAACAGACTTGACATGTAAATCATTTGAGTGAGGTAAATGTGCATGGAATGAAGTATGATAGACAGCTACAAATGTCAGCTTACTATTGTAAGTTTGTTATTGATAGGCTAGGGAGTCAAGCTTTAAAAAGTTTACTAAATATATGTATTTAATGACTTTCTTACATACTTCTAATATCACTTCAATAAAAGAGTAACATTCCCACAGACAACACATGTTGGGAATTCCACATCCATTCCTTTGTGGCTTTATTTGTAGAGAAATACCATCATAGAAATAACTAACCTTTGAGCCTAACTTGTAGTTAACCTCTGGAGGGTCTTAGCATTGTTTTAGCAGGGTGGCCTGTAGTGAACCCCATCTTATTGACTTGTAAAGATGGTCTTTCTGTGCTGCAGTAGTGTGGATTTCTCATGGGGCTGGACTGTAATATTTTTAGTGGTGTTAGATGTGTTGCTTCACAAGCAGTCCTAACTGCAGGGTCCCAAATGTGTATTCCAGATCTCAGTACATTCCCTTAATCAGGATATGAATGGCTTCAAATGTTTTCAGCTTCCTTCCAGAAATAATGCAGAGGGTGCCTATAGCTTCTCCCATCCCTGTTCCACATCTGTTAAATTTAATCTTAAACTTTATTCACAGGTGCCCAGGAATGACTTCTGGTTTTGATAGCCAGCTTTGCAAGGTTCAGAATGTGAGGCTGATCACACAACCACTCTAGTTTGAATACTTAATGGCTTTCTGTAGCACGTGTGCCCTAGTTTTAGAGCAGGCAGACAAGCTGCTGCTTCACTGCAGGTAGCCTAGTTAAAACAGTATTTCTCAAAGCACTTAAACTAGAAGTTCTGACCTAGATACCAGTATCAAAAGTTTTTACGACTTTTTATATGGCATGTTGTGTCATTTATGGCCTGAATTTGGAGACTGTGTCTCAGTAGCCACTCAAACACAACTAAGGGTTCAGCCTCTCTTCAGTGACGTACTAAACTTTGCAGATGTTAAGCAGTATAAGCAGTATGTTCAAGCTTCTCCATTCAGGTCTTTACCTCACTGTGATCCTTTAAGCAGCAAGGCTGACAAAAAAATCCAGACAAAGCCAATTCCACCACCTGGTTATCAAAGCCATTCCAGAAATGAGCAGAGTTAGTCTGCTTTTTCTTTCTTTCCTTCCTCCCCACTCCCCAGATTCCGTTATCTTTCAATCTTCTATCCTAAGGCAATCTTACTATCTGTTACAGATTTCTGGGTTTTTTTACTTTGGAGCCTGGTGATAATGCTTTTCTCTTTTTGCTTGCTTTCTGACCAATTTATAAAACTCTGTTGCAGTGAAAATAAGCAACTTCAATCGTGCGAAGCCAAGACCTGACATAATTGAAGAGGAGAAGATGTATGCTTACCCTAGTCACATTACCTCAGAAATTGGATTCAGGTAAGATTTTCAGTCTTAATCTTGTGCTGTGTTCAGGCATGGTATATAGGTAACACTGACTAATGTCATTGCATTAGTTTCTGTAGACTTACATGTAATCTTAAATCTGTCAACCAAAGCTGAGGTGGGAATAATAGTATGCTTAAGGTTGCTATTTTACATGCACAGATGAGTAGCACAGTCTTGTACTTTATACATAGTAATGGCAATTTGTTAGGTTACAGAAATCCTCAAATATAAGGACAGAAATTATTTGACCATTAATGGCTGGTTGCACAAATTTCTAATGTGCTATAAATAACTGTGCTTAATCTGTGTTACTGACTTTATATGGGAGTTTGAGGAGAGATACTGGTGTCTTACGCTGTTACTTAAAGTAAGCTTACAGAAGCCTAGCTTTTTCAGCCAGTTTCAGGCAAGGAGATATGTTGTAAGCAGTTGATAGATGAAGAAGAAAACTGCACCTTTGTTGTCTGCCAACAGTTGGACATAAGATTCTAGCAAGGGATTTGGAGTATAAAATATGTTTCCAGTTTGGGAAGGAACTTTAAAGGTGGCTGGGGCACTTCAGAGTTAAGGAAGGTCTCAGTGAAACACAAGGTACCCAACATTAACCTCACAAGCACTGAGACTCATTGCTTGTTTGTCCTTTGTGTACCTTCCGACTGCTTGAACATCTTCCAGTTGCTGAAAGGAGTCTGGTATGCATTAACAAAAAAAAAATCATCTAACATGGATTTCCATATAAGAATTTATTTAAAAATTTTCTAATACAGTATAACTTGCTTATGTACATGTCATAGTAAAAAGTTGAACTGCAGAGATGACTAATAGTTCGGCACTTCCCCTGGTGTCACAAATGCAGCAGGCACATGCTTTTATGGAACTTGGAAGTAGATGTCCAGGTTACAGGAAGGATTTAGAGTTGTCTTGAACTTTGATACAATGTCTGACTTCCATCTTGATATAAACACCATGGTGAATGCATGGTGGACCTCATTCCTTTCTCATTCAGCTTCTCCCCTGAGAAATTCTGAAATGCCCAGGGAAGGAGTCTGCAACAATGACTAGCTGAGGAAAAGACTCTGATTACTTTTGATTAGAGTGCAAACTTCCTGTGGGAACTGATTGCAAAACAATTATTTTAATTCTGCTCTATACAACTCTGAACCAAAAAAACTGGCTCTCTTTCCCTTGAGAGTTAAGGTCTATTGAAAAGTGAATCCTGTCAGCGCTGCAGCTGACCCTGGTTATAGGAATTTTTTTTATACTGTGATGTCTACAACCTAAGCTACTGATCAGAACCTCTTCTGGTGCTTGAAGTTGGCAGTGCAGACTGCTGGTTAAGGCTGCAGGCTTTGTTTCCAAAACTCGCTTTCTTTATTTTTTCCAGTTTAACGACAGTAGGTTTTTTGTTGGACCTAAGCTTTTTTCCACTGTAGCTATCCTCCTCAACACTCTTAAGAACTATGAAAAGGGCAATGTTCCAAAATGCTGCAAGGCTGAGGAGCAACTTTCTAAGTTCTAAGATGCTCACATGTGTACTAAGAGGGCAGATTCCAAAGTCAGCTAGGAAGAAATAATGTGTAAGGGAAGACTGGGGTATGCTTAGGCATAGGTATTTGTTCTTGCTGTATTTTTAAAAGTTCCTAATTACAGATTTGAAAAAATTCTGTTCCCTTTAGATTTTTCTCAATTAACTTAGCTTTACTTAATGTTGCAGTGTTACTATGCTAGTTAAAATGAAGGATATCTGAAATCTGGAGATACTTTAAGTGGGAGGTTAGGTGTATGTGAGGCTGTAGATTGGAAATAGCACAACTGTTTGGTGCTGATGCTGTCACTGTATTGTGACAGATAATACCACTGTATATAATAGTATATCATGTATGTTACTGCAGGTTAATCAAGAAATTTCTGTCTTAAACAGCTTATAATCCCCACAGCTGAATAAAAATACTATGCCTGCTTAAAATAAGCTTCCCAATGTATTTGGAAAAGGTGCTGTGGGTTTCTTAATACAATTCTTGCTCACTAAGTCTGTTAGACAGTAAGAACCTTCATACTACTGCAAGCTTTCTGTAACTGTCTAGCAGGAAATATGTAACTCAATTATGTAGATATGGCATGAAGTTTAGCCAAACTTTTCTCTTCCTGCCTTTTCATGCAAAATGGAGGGTAAACATAAAGGTGTCCTTCAAAAGTTAGTTGAGTTCACCAAAAGTAGAACTGAAAGAAGTAACTTTGAGTAATTGTGAATTAGCTAACACTTCCTATGTTGGAAAGCTGCTGTCACTTATTGAAATCCGGATTTGCTTTCGTTATTTCAAGGGAAAATTCAAGTTTAGAAGAGATAGTTGAGAAGCAAGGAGATGTAATAGAGTATCTTCAGCGACACAATGCACTGCTCAGCAAGAGACTACTGGCGCTAACATCTCAGCAAATCAAAACTTAACAGTATTTGGAAAACTGCTGTTGGAGCTCTGGAGGGAACCTGAGGTAATGTAATATCCAGACTGATTTGTACAGATGACTCTTCTTCAGTCATCTTTCACATTTTGAAGTAGAAGTTAAGCTGGAAGGATGAGCTCTGCGTACACTCTAAAGCTATTACAACTGGACACTCTGGCTCTCTTCAAATCATCAGTTCTGGAGCTTCAAGGATTTTTAATTCCTAATAGGTGAAGTTGGACCTGAGGTAAAATGGTTTAACTTTGTTCAGTTTTTGCTATTTTTGTACTGCTGTAACCTTTAAGTTTCCAACTACTAAAGTATTTTATATTTCTAGAATACAAATGTGTTCTCCAGAAAAACCTGACTTTGCAAAGGATGTTTTTTCAGTTTCTAGTGCTGAAGCTGAGACTAGATGTGTTCTGTCACTGAGTCCCATTACTTCCAGCGTTAGAGGTGGTGTACTTCAGTAATCCTGTACAAAGTGGACACTTGCTTTCTATAGCGGTCTCCTTTTCTCCTTCGTCAAGAAAAGGAATGAAACTGTTTCCTGTGCCAGTGGGGAAATTTGACATTCTATTTAGAATTTAAAAAAAGGCAGTGGGTGGTCTAGAATGGCAAATCTTTTGTACAAGTATATGGCATAAAACAATGTCCTGATAAGCAATTTATGCAGTTTTTCAGAATTCTGGCTTTAAAACCTGTAAGAGGTATCTTCAGGGCTGATGAATTTCCTGTTACTAGGAGTCTGTGTCAGCTAATAATCAAGATTCCTACTCTGCCAACTGAACTAACAACACAAAAATAGAGAGTAAGCGTTTTCATTGGCCTAGTAACTAACTCGTGTTGAATGGGTTTCAAGATCCTGTTAAGATGCATCTGTTGCACACCTTGCTCTTTGCATTGAGTCTTCAAAAAATGTCAACATCTTGATTCAAAAGCTAAAACAGTGTATGCAGGGAGGTGAAAAGCAGCAGAAGACAAAGATCTTCTAGAAGTTGGAGAAACAAGAACTTTTGGTTTTATTTCATGGATTTATTGGGAAGGCTGGTAAAAGAACCGTTCTGTTATGGGCACTACTTTGTCTGCCAGTGTAGACCAAGAATTATTTTAGAAGCAAATACCTCTGTGGGGAGACAGGGTAATCACTAGTCAAAAACTGGGAAGAAGGCTTTCATGAGGAGTGGTCTTGTTGAGTGTAAGAAAATTCATCCATCCTACTTTGGTCCTAGGACACAACTTCAGAAAAAAACTAAACTGTTTAGTGTGCACCAGACATGGGGGTTGTCTCATTTAAAGGAAAACAACAAGTATTGGAGGTCTTGCTGCTATCCAACACTAGACTATTCTCCTTAACTGTGGTTTCTTGAAAATGCAGCCAGGATTTTATAGTATATGTGTGAGGAATATAAATGTTTGGTTTTAGAACTTGTTTTTTTGATGTGATTGTATATATAAAATTATGTAATTTCTATGAAAAGCAGTGACTGTGAAGTTCATGCACAATAAATGCAACTAAGGAAAAGTGTGAATTGTTATTTCTAAGCTCATGTACAGCTGGTGAGGACTGTCTCTTGCAGCAGTTTTGATGTTTTAAAACCAGCTGAAAACTCTTACAACAAGGATAGCTGTGCACTTGTTTTGAAGCTTGAAGTTTAGTTTTGTTCTTTCCTGGGCAATGTTTTTTCCATCACACTTCACACTTTCCCTGCTACTCCTGTTTCTCTCCAACATAGAGGAATAGGATGCATAGTGTAGCAGAACTACTTTATTGTATTTTGAGGGTGTTGCTCATGCCCCTCTCTTCTTCATGATTGCTGAAGGTAAAACTTGGATTAACCAGAAGCATTGCTTTCCATGGAACAGGGCACCTGCGGGTTGCAGGGGATGCACAGGTTCAGACAGCCCTTTGCAATTAGTAGCTCTTCATAAGCACACAAATGATTAACAACTTGCAACAACCACCCCCCCTTTTTGTCTTTATCACCCCTCCCACTGTATCTGGATTTCTTAGTGTATGTAAGCTTCTGGGGAAAAGGCTTTACGGCAGTGGTGCAGGCTGCGTGAGGAGGTGCCCTGTGACACTGCGTGCCTGTTGTGATGTCATGGTGGTGTGCTGGGTGCTGTAGGCTTGTTGGGTGGCAGGGACGGCCCGGGGGATGCAATGCTTCTGCGGAAGAACAATGTATGTGTTCCTCAGGGTTGGGAAAACAAGCACTTCAGGCCACCTGAGAAACATAAAAGATTCGGGGTTGCCCCAAAAATGTGCAGACCAGGGATTCTGTAACAATTTCTGGATGAAATGCTGAAATGTGCTCAGTATTTTGTATGTGTTAAAGACACATTGTGATGATTGCTTGTGAATGCGCATCATGGATAAGGGAAATATTCTCAGTTGATATTTGTATTTTCTGTTTCTGAATAGCTCATAGTGGAAATTCCATGTAACCACTCCAGTGTTTCACCTCTCAAACGACATCACTGATTGCAAAAGATTTTAACAGGATTTTCATGCATTAAGCTTCTACACAAATAGGCAGTTAAGCAGGCTTGCCCTACTGATAGTTAATCTAAAAAACAAAGTATCATGGACCAGAGGCCCTTGGGCAGACAACAATCTAATGGCCAGGTGGCTCGAGAGACATCAGCAAGCATCCTCAGTGCTGGAAGGAGTTAGGCTTTTAGGTGTTAGGGCTAACTAAAGCCATAGGTTGTGCTGTTGGAGTGTTGCCCATTTTGCACAACCATTGTGCAGCTTGATCACTAGCCACAAAGATAAAGGCCATCGGCAGTAGTCAGAGATCAGCGTGCTCACTGTACTTCCCTGATGGTGGTCAAACATTTTGAACTTATTTACCATACTAATGCTTCTCCTGATTGATGCTGATATAAATCTCGTGTGACCCTTAGCAAAATTTGGATCTGTGTGTACAGACAGTGAGATATTTATAGCGTATGTATGTGGTATAAGGGAAATATTTCCAGTCTTTATTCTTCTATAATTTCCTTTTCCATACTGGGAAGAGGTGAATTGTTTATTATCCTTTGGGAACATACTAATCTGCTGTTTCTCACTGCAGCCTTACATTTACCTCCACTTCCTGTTGACCTGCTGTTACATCATTCTGTATTTCACTCTAAAATAGCCAATATAATTTAAAAGACTTAATGAAACTGACTTTCAAATAAAATTTAAAATTTTCCTGTGTAACTCTACGAGACAAGGAGTTAATTCTAAGTTTTAGAAACTTGCATTCAGAGTTTGTCTGAATTTACCTTTGGATCGTCTTTTCTTAGCTTGCATCCATGCAAACATCAATTCTGACTTTCAGTACACAGCAATTTGTATTTGTACAAATGTCCTTTAAATGTATGCTCATACGTGCACACGGTCCGCTCGGCTGTTGTAGCCCTGTGTCCAGGTGCTCCATGTTTATGATATATGTAATCACACCATTGTCATGCAAAATGTTTTTTGTCAGATGAAGTTGTGGTGTGCAAATCCAATGAAAATGGATAATTTCAACAAAGTCAAAGATAAATCCAGCTCAAGGGAAAACAAGGTCCCGTGAAGCCCTGCTCCCATTGAAGGTAAACGTCGGTGGAGTGTTGCGCTGTGGTAGTGTCACTTGGCTCTCCGATTCAGCTGTGCAAGACATCTAGCCCATAGAAACTTACAATATCCAACCTCTAAGGGGAGAAGTTACAGCACATTCTAGCTTCTGCTACACTTCAGACTACTTCCGAACTTGTTTTTTGTCCTGAAATAAGCAAAGACCATTTTCTTTAATTTATGAGCACATTCAGATGTCATGACCTACTACTCTTGAGACAATTTAAAATCTTGCTTATTCTAGGCACAAAGACAAGGCGTAGTCTGGGTTCTGCTGCAATTCTGTTATGGTGTCATGTTAGAGCATGCTGTGATTACACCAACCAGTACTTTTAAACTAAGTTCTCTCTATAGGGCTTTTATCAGAATTTCGTATTTGTAGAGGTAGAAAATGTGAGGAAAACATTTACATGAATAATTACTATTTATTGAAAATAAAATTAAGAAAAATTCTTATATGCTGATTCCATATGAATCCACAGGGAAAATGAGACTAATTCTCCCTTTGCTGTAGATACATTGACTTTGACAGCTGAAGAATATAAATTTTGAAAAGTATACAAATTATTTATTTAAAAGTATACAAATTATTCATTTAAAATGAGATGTTATTTGAAGTGTATGCTATCTTTTTACAACATATACAATCAGCCAGCTAGTTTATAAACGTATCTGTAAAGATCACAATCAATGCCTTTTTTCAAAGAAGATTTCATGGTATCAGAGTGTCTAAAAAGAATAGACATTTACAATAATTTTGTAGACTGCCAACAGGCCTCCTAGGATGCTCTGGTACTCATTTTATTTATTTTTACATCTGTAAAGGAACATGCATATATAGTGCTCTGATAGATACTTCATGTTCTTCTTATGATTGCATCAAAGTTAATTGAATAATTATGGCCATATAAAACATCCAGTGCCACGCTAAATCCATGTACTCATCTATAAGGCATAACTGTTAAAGTTACTCTTCACCTTTCTTGCTTTCCCATACTCTTTACCTGTACTTCTAAACAGAGATAGCCATGGACACATATGAAAGCTAAGTTAAATAAATAATTTAAAAATAAATTTAGTGGTAGTATGCCTCTAATTTTGGAAAGCTGCTTTCTTTCAAAACTCCAAAGGTTTCTATGCAGGGCTCTTTGTTGGTGTAGACAAGTCTGACCATCTTTGTATGATTATTTTCCAAAACTCCAGAATAGAATGTAAAGATTTTTTTTTTTCCCTATACGGAGAAATTTGAAACTCCAGCTTCATACTGGCAGAACTCAACAGATAAAATTTTCAGGCTCTCAGATATGAGGGGTTACATATAGACACTGATTAGAAAGTTTCAGCTATCCGATTTTCTTGATTGCTGTTCTTTCACTTATTAGAAACTACACATTGCAAGACAAAATTCTAATACTGGATTTAAGCTATGACACCGCTGATCTTCACTCATCTTTACACAAGTTACAGAAAATGTTGATGTTTCAAGACTAGTGCAATGACTTAAAAGTCTGGGTATGACTTATTTTCAGGTTTGTTTTAGTTCTGCTAATGAAAGGGC